TGTTTAGTGGCTTAAAACAATACACATCGGAGTGTCACACAGATTCTATGGATCAGGGGTCTGGGCACATTGGAGATGGAACTGTAGTCAAGGTATTGATTTGACTGCATTCTTCTCAGGGGATTCAAATAATTCATTTCCAATCCTTTTCAAGTTGTTGCCAGAATGTTTTGTGTGTGGCTGTGTGGTAGATAAGAATTTTTGTCAATTAGATTCACCTGGCTAGGGGAGGAATCAAGCCTGTCAATCCAGTGATACCATGATGATACCTCCTTGGGGGTGTGGCCTTTTCTCAAAGAGTGGAGGACTCTGGGAAGCGTACTCTCTCTGCCCTTCACCTTCCTGCCTGCTGGAACTCTGCCTGCCACCAGGGGTAGCCCCAGTGGGTCACGGACCCTGAAAGCTGCAGGCATCCTGCCACGTTCCCACCAACCTTGGACCCAGGGGACTGCGCTCCCCAGCCCGTGATCTCCATGCTTGGCTGTCGGCGTTCTGCATCACCAGCAGGTGGCTGCATGGGTCTCAAGAGGGACCCACTTATAAACTTGAGTTGGACTGGGCTGGGATAACTCCTTGAAGTGTAATTACTTCTTCTATAAAGCTCCTTTTTATACATGGATGAGTGTCATTGAATTTCTTTCTCCAGACAATCTGGCCTAACAAAGGCTGTATTACCAGAAGTCCTGGTTTTTTGCCAACTGTTAAAGAGGAGGCCACTGTAATGCTCTAGAAGCCACTGGAAGTCTCTGCCATGTGACATGCTTCTTAATCAAACTAGAAAGGAGATTATCTCAGACAAGAAGGAAGGCCCATTTCCTATATTCAGTACTTTCATATAAAATAAAATGTAATATATTGAACTTCATGAAAATTGAAAATGTGTGTACTTCAAAAACCACCATTAGGAATATATTAGGGGGCTTCAAAAAGTTTGGAGAAAAATCCTGTTCTTTTAATTCCATTTTCCCACAGACTTTTTCAAGCCCCCTCAAACAAAAATACATGTTACAAAACAAGTCAAGAGTAAAGAGGAATATATTTGCAAATTATTTATCTGATGAGCAGCTACATTCACAGCTCACACATACCTTTTATAATTAAATAACACAAACAAAATTGAGTTAAAAATAGGGAAAGCATTTAAATAGACATTTCAAACAAGAAGATAGACAAAAGATCAATAAACACATGACAAAATGTTTAACACATGTAGTCATGAAGGTAATGAAAATTAAATCACAATGAGATGTCACTTTATAGTCACTATTATAGATAAAGGCCATAAGAATGTTGAAGAGGATGTGGAGAACTTCACACCACTCTAGGGAATGCTAGTTAGCATAGCTCCCCATTGAATAGCAGTTTGGCAATTAAAAAAAAAAGCTAAACATAAGTTTATCATATGTTTCAGCAAAAGTAATCTACCCTTGATAAATCAAGCCACTGTTGACATAAAGCCTTTACAGCAGTATGCATAACAGTAGTATTCACAATAACCAAAATGTGGCCACCACCCATGCGTCTATGAGGGATCATAAAGTATAGTACAGCCATACACTTTTAAAAACTCCAGCAATATAAAAGAATGAGCTACTTTTACATGCTTCAACATAGCTGAACCATGAAACGAATATGAAAGACCGGGACAAAAAACATATATGCTGTATGATTTCATTTGTATGAAATGTCCATATAAATGAACTTAGAGATTTACATTCCACATTTGTAAACACAGAACCAGTTTTTCTGCCTTCCTAATTTTGAATATTTTAGAAAACATTTTGTGTTAGTCTGGGTACTTTAGAGAAACAAATCCACAGAAACTCATGTATAAGAGAGTTTTATATAAAGGGTAAATGCACATCAGGAAAACATCCCAACCCAGTGCTGCCCAAGCCCACAAGGCCAACATTAACCCATATGTCCGACACCAATCCACAAAGTCCTCCTCCATCTCACAAAACAGATGCAATGATGCCGACTGCAGGAGGAAAGCTGAGTCAGTGAATGTGTAAGCATCTCAGCACTGGCAGGGGTCTCCACACGGGTGTTCTTGCACCCAGGGCTGCATCGGGGTAGGTCCATGTGGCTTCTCCTCAGGGATGTCTTGCAGGAAGTGAGCCTTGCCTGCTGAAGCAGGGAACTGGCTAAGGCGGCTGCACCCTGGTCTGACCATCAGAAAGCAAGAGACCAGAGAACTTGAAAGGCGAGGCTCACAGAGCCATTTGTCCCTCCGCCCTTCAATTAACCCCACATGTGTTTATTGGCCAGGTTGGCACAATAAACTAACTCACATTTCTATAAATGTTTTGCTAACCTCTAATGATTCAGAATGCATCCGCATATGTTTTGTTAAAAGTTTACTATTAGCTCTGACCTCAAAATTGTTTTTGCCCCATGACGCAAAAAATGTTTTTGATTGTTTTTTTGCAGGCACCTAACAAGACTAAGACACATGTATTATTCACAGACCTTGTCTGTAGCCATCCACTGATTTCCGGTGTTTTGTTTGGAACAAGCCCAAGCATGTGTGAATGAAGTTTAAATTCTTGCCTTTCCAACATAAAGATTTGCTTTGAGAGGCAAAGAGAGGGTTTCACAGGGAATTTTATTGAGAGACTCCAAGGAGGAAGAACATCCTTCCCAGCAGCATGGGCATCTTACTTCCCCCTATGAAACAGAGATTCTCGTGAACAAAAGATTGTTGAGAAAATCCTTCCAGTTGCACAGAACTCTGCCAGGGTAACAAGGGGTTCTGGGACATTTAGTTCCAAGATTTTACCCGGAATCTGTGCATGCCATGTCCAAATTTGCAAAAACTGTCTTCTGTCTTATCATATCCTTTTCATTTTTTTGAAGCCCCCCATTGTGTGTGTTGGTATATTTGTATGTGGTGTTTTGCATTTTTAAATTTTGTATTCATTTCTATATCTGTATGTATTTTATATTCATTTTGAAGATTAAAGTATGTCTGACCCAACCCATGGTATTTTAAGTGAAAGCTAGCCAGTGAATAAAGATGACTAAAGAAGAATTAATGCCTTTGAATTTATGATATTGACTAAGTGAGATAGTTAAAGTTTATTGTGCCAACCTGGCTGATAAACACATGTGGGGTTAATCGGAAAGCAAGGGTGTTACTTTGAGAACTAAGGTGCCCTTGACCCAAGCCATGATATTTTCAATCACATCCTATGCGTGTGAAAGCTGGACATTGAATAAAGAAGACTGAAGAAGAATCAATGCATCTGAATTGTGGTGCTGGAAAAGCATATTGAAAGAACTATGGACTGCTCAAAAGGACAAACCAACCTGTTGTGGAAATACAATCAGAGGTTTCTTAGAGGCAAGGATGGCAAGACTTTGTCTTACATACTTCCCACATATTGCCAGGAGAGACCAGTCCCTGGAGAGAGACATCATGTTTAGTAGAGAGACGGACAGTATTAAAGAGGAAGACCTCAACAAGATGAGTTGACACAGTGGGTGCAACAATGAGCTCAGGCACAGGAGCAACTGGGAAGAAGGTACAGGGCTGGTCAGTGTTTCATGTAGCGTGCACAGGGTCACTAGGGGTAGAACCTACTTGGGGCACCAAACAACAACAACGACAACAACCATTTGATGGTAACTGATGCGTTAGGTTTATAAAATGTAGTGTGTGTATCTGGGGTACCATCTGAGATTATTTTCTCTGCCCAAAGAGCATCTTTTTATAGATTTTCTTTTCTTTTTACAGATTTTCTAGCACAAATTTGTAAAAGGGAAAAAGACATTGGTGTTGAGTCAGCTCACAGTGACACTGTAGAATTTGTGGCTTCATTAAGATAGAGTCGAATGCCCCTCTGGATTTCCGAGGTTGCGTGTCTTTACAGGAGCAGAGCACCTCATCAGTTTCAGAGGAGCCGCGGCTGGTTTGCACTGGTGAGTCCGTGCGTCGCAGCCCCCTGTGTAAGTAGCTGTGTTGCCCTGGCTTTTTCTAGTAAGCACGTTGGAGGCAATGAATTGTCTTGGATTTGTTTGTCTAAAAATGCAAGTATTCGGCCTTTATTCTTAAATGATATTTTTTTCTGAATACAGAGTATGAGTCTGTCTCCTGCCATCTGTTCTTTATGACACAGTTAGGCATCGGGTTGCTAGAGTGAGGCTCTCAGGCAGAACATGCAATAAGGAAGCAGAAAAGGCAGGAATGAGGAGAACTAATTGTTCAGTTGACCTTTATCAAAGGTCATATGGCCTGCTGCCTCCAACCTCTTTTTCTTATTTGGAAAATTTAGACCCAGCAGATATTTGAATAATGTGTTTCTCATCAAATTCTAGCCAAACAGTCTGCTTCTAGAAACTTCACTACTCTTTGGTAATTAATAATTAAGTTTTTGGAAAACATTTCCCCAGCACTATAGAAAAAATATGACTTTCCCTCTAAAATCTTTAGAAAAAGAACCTTTTCCTGTTGTTATTAAGGTAATTATTACACTAATTTGTAGCTCTTTGATAATGAGGTACTGTCCCGGCTCTTCAAGTCCAAGGTCCTTTCAGAACTGGTAAGAGGTAGAGTGTTAGGTAATCATGCTGCTAATGAGTGTCCTCTAGTTTCAGATGGAAAGGTTCATGTCGTTTGTAATCTCTGAATGGATTCATTGTATGTGTTTTGTGACTCCTATCTATTAGTTTATTTTGTGGGTTCAAAGGTGTCTTATAGAGACCTTGGTAGATGGTAGAGTCTCCGTGAAACAGCTTCGAGGGGAAAAGGAAGGCTGGAGGGCAAGTGGTCTGATTAACATTTACACTCTGTCCTCCTTACCATATATTTAATACAGAGAAAATGAAAATCTTTGCTTTGCTAACTCTGTGTAGGTTTAATTACCTGCCATGGTGGTGTAGTGGGTTTGCTGCCAGACAGCTATCCCCAAGACCTGCAGTTGGAAACCACCAGCTACACCGAGGGAGAAAGACGAGGCTTTCGATTACCATAAAGAGTTATGGTCTCAGATACTCACAGGGGGCACGTTCTCTCCTCTAACCTTCACTTTTTTACACTCAATTAAATTAAGAAGTAAATGAAAGCCCCACATGCACTTATTGGCAAAGACCTAGTAGGCAGCACCCGGTTGATTTGCATACCTCTTTCTCTGAAAACCACAAACCTCTGACACTTGCTTTTAAGGGGCACTTGTTAGAGGAGAAGATGATCAGCCTGTGCAGACAGGGCTCAGCCAGTACCATGGGTTTCCAGACCATCACCGTTGGCTTCTTGCTGCTCAGCGTCACAGGTAAGGAAGAGAAAAGTTTAAACTTAGGACCCTCTTTCTCATGGTAATTTAACTCTAAAATTTGTTTTATCAAGCTTTATCTAGGACAGTTTTACAGTCAATATTATATTTTATGAAAACATGCTTTGCATTTCTGTTTATGCTATTTTCTCATTTTTCATCTCTCCTATATGACCACAGTATCCAATGGAGAGATCATGCTGACCCAGTCTCCAGCTTCCCTGGCAGTCTCCCCAGGAGAGAGAGTCACCATCAACTGCAAGGCCAGCTCAAGTGTAGACACTAGTTACTTACACTGGTACCAACAGAAGCCAGGAGCCTCTCCAAAGCTTCTTCTTTATGGCACGTCTAACCCGGCCTCGGGGACCCCTGCCCGGTTCAGTGGCAGTGGGTCTGAGAGAGATTACTCTCTCACAATCAGCAGCGTGGAGGCTGAAGATGCTGCCAGCTTTTACTGTCATAATGGGTACTACTCACCACCACAGTGCTACAGACTGGAACAAAAACTAACCCCTCTGACCGCAGCTGCTTCCCCCTCAGAGGCGTGCGGTTCATAGTTAGTTTTTGTGTTAGTGTAAAGCGATTTAATGGAACAGAAAATTCAATATTCAAGATAAATAATTAGTCAGATGTCTAAGCCATAGATTGGTGAGCAAATGACCCTTTGATTACAAACCATACAATTTCACGTCTCATTTAAAATTTTTAGAGCAAGCAGAGTAATGGTTTCATGAATATATAAGATTTAATGACAAAATTCACAAAAATAAACTGGTGACTGTCAAAAAAGAGTTCGTGTTCTGGGAAGGAGAGTGCATTTTCATGATGGTCCAGGTCAATATTTTCCCCTATGCGATCTCATCCCCCAGGCAGAAGTGCACGCTTGGAGTTTGCTTGGTTCTTTCCCCTCAAATGCCAAGGCCCTTCTGACTGTCCTTTGGTTTTGTTAAAAGACCTTGGGTCAGAGAGCACATTTTGATTAACAGACGCCAGCCCTTTGTCACCATGGAAATTTTCCTTCACAGAAGAAAGGAACTGATTATTGTTTGCTCTGTAGGTATTCACAGAAGTGAGTTCATTCACATAAATGAAATTCTGATAACCAATATTCACAAAAAAACGTCACTGTGAGACCTGGTGGGAGAAGCAGTCTGTTGGTCTCAATAAAAGTATCACTGGTTTATAGCTCTAATTACTGTCTTCACTCTGATTAATTATAGGGCTGGAGGTTCATTTGGGGAAGATTTTGTGAGTTTTGGAAAAATGGAGACCATAAGTTCAACCAAGTATAAGGCTGCTTTTAGATATTGCTCTCCGTTTTGTACCCTTTACGTGGCAGGGGTGCTGTACTTGCTCCAGAGCGGGATGTATATAGTCTCACAGGACGATGGCTCGAAGAGGCGAATAGAGTGTGAGCTCAGCCTCAGCAGTGTAGAGACTGTGTCGGGCCGAGCTCATCAGAAGTAATGTGTGTGGCATAAAGAGAGAAGAAGGGACAGAATTGAAGACATCTAGCATCCGGGCACTAATTGACTTTCATCTAACCCCATCATTGTAACCTAACAAAAGACCAACTCTTTAAGCTAGCTGATCTTTGAGTAAAAACTTTGGACTAACTCTTTTTTTGAATCATTTTATTGGGGACTCGTACAATTCCCATCACAATCCATCCATCCATCCATTGTGTCAAGCACATTTACACATTTGTTTTCATCATCATTCTCAAAACACTTGCCTTCCACCTGAGCCCTTAATATTGGCTCCTCATTTTCCCCCCTCCCGCCTCGCTCATTAACCCTTCATAATTCACAAATTATTATTATTTTGTCATATGTTACACTGTCTGACGACTCCCCCACCTTTTCTCTGCTGTCCATCCCCCAGGGAGGAGGCTATATGTAGATTCTTGTAGTCGGTTCCCCCTTTCTACCCCACATTCCTTCCACCCTCCAGGCATCGCCACTCTCACCACTGGTCCTGAAGGAGTCATCTGTCCTGGATTCCCTGTGTTTCCAGTTGCTATCTGTACCAATGTACATCCTCTGGTCTAGCCGGATTTGTAAGGTAGAATTGGGATCATCATAGTGGCGGGGAGGAAGCATTTAAGAACTAGAGGAAAGTTATATGTTTCATCGTTGCTACCCTGCACCCTGACTGGCTCATCTCCTCCCCACAGCCCTTCGGTAAAGGGGTATCCAGTTGCCTGCTGATGGGCTTTGAGTTTCCACTCAACACTCACCCACATTTACAATGATATGATTTTTTGTTCTTTGATGTTTGATACCTGATCCCTTCAACAGCTCTTGGTCACACAGGCTGGTGTACTTCTTCCATGTGGGCTTTGTTGCTTCTGAGGTAGATGGTTGCTTGTTTATCTTCAAGCCTTTAAGATGGACTCACACTTATTGAGGTCAATATTGTAACTTAACAGTGAAGATGCTGACCCATGCAAAAGCTCAATTAAGTAGATGTGGTAGTTACACCATTAAATGTCAACTTGATAAATAAGTGTAGGGGTGGGGTCTAGTCTTTCAATCAGTGCACAGTCTAATTATGCCTCCTTATGGGCATGCCCTTCTCATGAGCATTCTGGGAACTTCCTCCCTCTCACTGCTTTATCTTTCTGTTGAAGAGCCACACGGAGCTACATGGATACCTGCGCCAGCACTGAGGTGCTCCCACCACCATTGGATGCACAAGACCTTGCACCCACCAGCCTGTGATTTTCCTGCATTTTGTATCATTGCTTGTGGCTGCATGAGTCTGAAGAAGGATTTATAGACCAGTATCAGACTTATGGACTTGATCTGGACTGGGCTGGGTTGTTTTCTCAATATACAATTGCTCTTTGATATAAAGCGTTTTCTTATACATACGAGGGGTACTCCCTGCCCCACTCACAAAAAAACACAGAAAAAGCACCAGTTGGCGGAGCTTTTGTAGTATATATCCCCCCCTCCCCCTCCCATCCTCACCCCCAACCCCCTGCTAGGTGAGCATTGAGCAACTCTAACTAACAGAGGTAGTGCACCCAGTGGCATTGCCTGGGAGCAGTTTCAATTCAACCTCGTTTTTTTGTGATGGTTGATTTATGGGAACAGCGTGTAGCTGTGAAATTTTGTTTCCTGCTCAGGGAAAAATGCTGCAGAAACTATTGTGATGTTGAACACATCTTACAAGGACAGTGTTATGGGAAAAACACAAGTGTATAAGTGGTTTTCTCGTTTTAAAAAAATGAAAGGTCGATTTATGACAAACCTCACTCTAGACATCCGTCAACTTCTCAAACGGATGAATATGTCAACAAAATTCATGCACTTGTGCTCTAAGACTGGTGATGGACCATTGAAGAGAGAGAGAATTTATCTGGACTATCTTGGATCATGGTGACATGAATTTTAACAGAAGATTTGGGAATGAGGAGGGTTGCTACAAAATTTGTGCCTCCGGTTCTGATTGACGGGGCAAAAGAGCTTTGAGTGGAAACATGCTGTGCTCTGAAAGAACAGCTCTGATGTGACTCAGACTTTTCTCTAAGGTCATTACTCATGATGAGATGCTGTTATTCTTATGACCCTAAAAGCAAATATTAATCAAGGAAGTGGAAGATGCCAAAAAAATTTGCCTCGCTCCCTCCCCCCAAAATCTTGTTAAGTGAAATAAAAGATCAAGACGATGCTCATTTGTCTTTTGATGTGAGGGGGCAGTGCATTTGGAATTCATTCCACCAGGTCAGACTATTAATCAAGCATTCTATTTAGAGGTTCTGAAAATATTGCCTTTGTAGCAGACAGGGGACTGGTTTTGCCACTATGATAATTTGCCTGCTCACGCAGTGTGCAATTTTGGGGCACAAAACAGCAAGCCTCTCTTGCCCCAACCACCTGACTCACCTGACCTCACTCTGTGCGACTTCTTTCATCAAATGAAGAGGGACATGAAAGGGCAGTGAAGAAAGAAAAGAGGGAGGTGCTGACAGCCATCCAAACCGATGAGTTTGAAAAATGTTTCCAAGGATGGAATTGGTAAATGTATTCAGTGAAATGGAGAGTACTTTGAAGCTAATAAGGATGTTTTGTAAAAAAGGTAAATAAATAGCTTTGAAAAAATGTTTCCATTTTTGGGCGGTACCCTCATATTTGAGTGTCTCTGGATTGGTTTCTCTAGTCAACCGGTAGTAGATATCATGCCAATAATTCAAGTCAGTAATTCAAATGTCTTCTTCCACCATTAAAAAAAATTCAATAACAGTTTTTTCCTCCATCAAGATCAACAGTCCTTTTCTCTTGGTTCATATTTCTAGTCTACCTTGCCTTTCTGAAATGTTTTTATCCATGTAAAACTTTGTTTTATGGAGAGACCTGGAAACCATTATACTGAGCAAAGTTAGTCAATCACAAAAGGACAAATGTATTTGTCCATTACTATTAGATAAACACCAAGATTAAGGTAGGCCACTGCTTACAGGGCAGGTACTCTTCTAATCCAGTCTCCTAAGCAATGAAGTAGGGAGCCTATCTAGCAACCATGAAATATCAATCTCTTCTATAAATGTATGTCTTAAAAAAAAGCCTGTGATCTTCCTGCATTCGGCATCATTGCATGTGTTGTGTGAGTCTGAAGAGGACTTTACAGATTGGTATCGGATCTATGGACTTGATCTGGACTGGGCTCGGATGTTTCCTTAAGGTACAATTACTCTTCATATAAAGCTCTTTCTTATATGAGAGTGTTTATGAATTTGTT